GTTTATCAAGCTTTTGTTCATGCTATATGTGTTATATCTTTTTGCTTGTCCCTTCGACAAATATAAAATAACTCAAATATAAAATATCTTTTTGCTTGTCCCTCGCTCACAACCATTCTACAAACCAAACATACCCTAAAAAAGATTTCATCAATTAACATGACTTTTAAAAGAGAGCTACTAAATAAAAGAGAGCTACTATCATTAAGCCAGCGTAATGATGTTTAAAATCATTGTAGCTCTACCAATTATACTTAAAAGTGTAAGAAGACTCATTAAGAAGAGTTGATTACAGAAAGAAAATAAACAAGGTTTATTAAACATACCAATAGAAGAGCATAATATACTTCTAGATAACATATTAACATTACTTTTTAAAAAATTGAAGTATAATCTCACTAAAAAGTGAAATCTTGTACTGAATTGTGACAAAGATTAAAGTACTTTCTAGAACTACTAGTTTTGTGTTAATTTCAACATTTCAGACAATCAAACAACTGAACAAGCAACTTCTTCATTCCATACTGCTAATACTATGTTCAAGTGTAACACCCCTCATAAAATATCATCAGAAAACAGCATACATAGACCTTCAGATCAATAATTTAACACCCCTCATAAACTATCAAGGGCTTGAGTTCAATAATTTATCAAAACTAACCAAATACCAATATTTTCAATATTTTTTTCTCATAAAAATACATGGGAACATTGCATATCTCCATGTCAGTAGATCCCTGGTATGATCCTATATGGAACCTTGTTGCAATACGTCTTCCAATACTTACCATACCTGCATCCAACCCAAATCAAATTCAAAATCATTACTTCTATTATTTTATTTTCTCAAAAGAAAACATTTCCATCAAACAAAACACAAATGGGAAGGATGCTTACTTTGAACGACATCTATCATCGTCTCTTTTGGCTCGATCAAACAACAAGATGGTCAAGAACACAAAATAGAAGTATGGAAGAAACTGCAAAACAAAATTAAATAATTCAAGATTCCTTTCTTTAGACTACTACAACAACACCAATAAAGATCATGCTCAAATAATCAAATTACATTATCGAAAAGGGCCGGAACTGTCCAGAAAAATGCTGCCATAATCTCAGGTACATAGTGGAAATGACGAGATAAACCCCACCTATAACAACATCAAAAAAAACATCATCTCATCGGAATCGGAATTGGAATCAGAATCAGAATCGGAATCGGAATGGGAATGGTGATCTAGTTAGTGACTGTTAGCTACTGCCTAGTGCCTACTCACCACCCTGAAGTCAGCAGAAGGCTGGTCTTAGTCTCCCCCTTGGTTGTAGTGTATGATGCAACTATCTGTAATAATACCCAATATATCTTACTATTAATATATCAAATTAAGACCACTAACAACAACAACAACAACAACAATAATAATAATAATAATAATGCTAATAATAATTTCATTTCACTACACAAAAGTTGACAGTTTGAACAAGTTACCTTGCTTGGAGCTTTCCCCCAAACCAAGCTCTTGCCATTTGTTCTACGAAATTCTTGCCTTTGTCTATCACAGTCATAATTTATGTATATGCACAAAATCCCTGCTATTAGGATGGAAATCGCCAGCTGTTTGTATTGTATCAACACAGAAACAATTAAAAAATGATGTATATATGAAAAGAAACTGTTCAAAATATTAATTTCTATTAGACAAAAAAAAAAGAACCTGAGCTCCAAGATTGACAGGATGATTGACAAGGTACATGCCAGGGGAAGTATATATAGAAGGAACCCAAACCAAGCATCCCCAACAGATATAAAATCCAGCTACCAAAACAAAATCAATAAAAAAATATATATACATTTCAGAATATATATCTCATACAACTCGCGTACAAAAATAATAGAAATATATTTACCTCGATCATGTGCAATATCCATTGTGTTCCAGTACCCTGCTTCCCACCAAAAGAACTTTGTAATGTAAACCAACATTAACAACGTACTTACAGCCATAGAATCTGCCACTTTCCCATCTCTTTCATACTGAATCAAAATAGATTGCAAATTTATCAATCAATGATTCTATTACTTCAAATCATGCATGAATAAATAGTAAATTAAATAATGGTTTTCAACTGCATACCTGTTTTATGCAGTAGGTTACAGCAAGAACAGCCCAAGACATCATCCCAAATCTACAGTTGGTGAAAACTTTGATATCAAAATTCTTTCCAATTCGAGGATAAAGCTCCATGCCCTATTAAACCCCATCAAGCATAACATATACTCAGAACAATATTTCTTGATATTTATTTGTGTAAACAGAATAAGAAACAACAAATTCACAGAAACTCACCCAATAGAAATCGAATATTATGTTTCCTGATGAACCAGAATCAGTGGAAGAAGGTGCTACATGACCCTGTAAACCAAAGCTAGAAGTGTCAGAAGAATAAATATAGTATGATTGATGATATGTGACATCATGTATCATGCTCACCTTTATGTATAAGAATATACAAAAGACAAAGCTTCCGAAAATAAGGGCGGAGTATATTTCTCCCAAATGATCATAAACAACTGTCGGATTAAATATCCCAAACCTGAAATTACAAAAAGAATAGTTAGTTGTAGGTCGAAGATGTCAAACTCAACTTATGTAAGAAGAAAAAAAGATTATTGTAACATTAAGCTTACCACCAAAGGCTGATATATGTAATCAATGTCACCACATATGCTGCCACACCATTAGCCTGAAACAAGAAAATGAATATTCTTGAAACATTCTTACAATCTACTTAATGTTATAGTGTGAATTTGTCAATGTTGTTGATTTGGAACCTTATAGACTGGCCTATTGCCTGTAGGGGATATTGGCCCTTCAACTCTTTTCCCAGGTAACCACAGCTGGAGGGCTGCTTCAAAGAGGGCATAACAAGCAATGATCTTCCATGCAATAGCAGTAGGTTTAGGCCATATGTTCACAAACCCTTCAACTCCATGCTCCATGAGATAATTGAATGTGTGTAGTAAAGAACCATCGAGATGTACCATTGTATACCATCTGTAAAAAGTAATAAAGTTTAGTTGAATCCATAGATGACTTCTTTTTATGTTCTCATTGTTATCAAGATAGTAACGTATCAATAAGTAGGTAAGTTATAATGTGAGATTAAATTACAGGCGACAACTCATTCTGGTAACCAATAATCATAATTAACATGATTCGAAACATCATTACTCTATGATTGTTAAGAAAACACTGAGCAAAAGCTACTGTATCTTATTTAATTTTGAAAATCAGCTCTTGATGTGTATGTGTTTGAGAAGTATGATATAGGTGCACTTAAAAGCTAAGAGAATCGATTATGCATGCCCTCATAAGTCAGCACAGAGATCTACAAGACAAGATCCAGATTCATCACACAACAATACAGAGTAACAATCGTTGGCGTCAATAATTCTTCATTTACAATACAATTATACAATTATCTTTCTGAATCAAAATCTGTATGGATAAAGATCGAATTAAGAAGCAGAAACAAAGTTAAAATCTTTATGAAAAACAAAACAGAAAGAGTAAGTATAAAGATCTGATTTTCATGTTGGTTTTAAAGTAGCTGCAGGATGTGAAAAAGAAAGATAGGTGAGAACTTACAGGAGGATGACGAAAGGAGGGCAAGTGGAGAGAAGAGTGATGACAGAGAAGTAAGTTAGAATCGGAGAATGAACCATCTCCTTCTTCTTCATGGAATCTGCATCTGTTGCGCCCATTTTCTTCACCAGATGCAGAGTACGATGGGGGGAAAGAGGAGAGTGACAAGATGTTTGTGTTTAGTGAGAGAGAGATAGAGAAGGCGAAGTGGCGAAGACTTGATATGCCTCGTGGTCGTGGAACGACTTCCACCAAATCAGGTGGGGATAAAAAATTAAAAATAAAAAGAAAGTGTAGGATACATTTACATTTTACACAGCGGTCCATCCCCTTCTCTGTTGTTAACTTTGACACCGGATCAAATCAACCTAGGTATATGCTAATTTAATACACCAAAACATAATTTGCCTTTCGCTTTTATATTTCTTGTTTTCTTGTATTAAAATTTCAACCCCTATCACTATGTCTATGCTACATCACTACAAATTTGTCACCAAACGTTTAAATTTAGTATATTCTAAGACTATAAAATATCTTTAATAATTTTTATTTTTATTTATTTTATAATAGGATTAATCCTCTTTTTGGATTAACTATCAATGTCTTTGAGTCGTCGATAAATCGATTTTATTTTATTTAAAAAGTAATTGATATTTATTGTTATTATATAGGAGTATATTAAATCTAGACATTAGTGATCTTTGGTGGTCTACACTTTTGGCCCAATGGTTCTTACATTTTGTCAAATATGGTCTTTTTTTTCTTTAATTTGTTTGGTATTGATTGTTGTTTTTATATTTTGACATATTTAATCATTGCAACAAATATTTATATTTTGGCAGATTTAGTTGGGAAATCTGCGAAAAAGTCCCAAAGTTTTGCCCCAGTTTATGATTTAGTCCCAAATTAAATTTCACTTATGAAAAAGGACAGATTACCGGCTATTACACTCAGTTTAGCCCTAAGAACCGGTAACCCTTATAATAGCCGGTTACCCCAGCTCACTGTCCTTATCACCCTCCATTAAGAACCGGTAACCCTTCAATATAACATAATGAACAAAATGGATGTAAGTTATACATCAACAAAACATACCAAAATCAGCCAAAGTGTTTACAAAAGAAAGGGCATATCCCTATTAACAAATTTACCAAAAAGGGCTTCCTAACAAATTTGCCCAAATAGCCCATATAACTGCTTAAATCCTAACCAATCTAAAGTCCCAAAGTGTTAACAATGCAGCCATATTGTATATTGTTTACAAAAGAAAGGGCATATTAACAAATTTACCAAAAAGGGCTTCCTAACAAATTTGCCCAAGTAGCCCATATAACTGCTTAAATCCTAACCAATCTAATCCAAAGTAAGAGGTTTTTCTGGAGCCATTCCTATTCCTTTCTTGTCAATCACAGTTTTCTTCAACATGTTTTCAGTGATCCTTTCAGAAGTTTTTCTTGTTCTAACCCTGACTTGAGTTCTAACCCTAACTTGAGTATCATCAACTCCCTCTTCATCATCCTCAGCTCCATCTTCATCATTGTCCTCCTGTGATTCCTCAATTCCATCTTCATAGTCACTCTCCTCCTTGTTTTCACCATTATCCTCCTGTGTTTCTGGTACATGTTCACTCACAAAAGGCACATCCTTGCATGGGAAAGAATACAAGTTAGTTATGTTATTGAAAAATAAAATTCACTGTCAATGTTATAATATATACCTTTGCAGCTTGTTTGGATTGGTGAAGCAAAGCATCAAATCCTTTAAGTTGTGATTGGGTGATATTAAGACACAAAAGGATCTCTGCTTCACTGTATTTTGACTCTCTAAGGTAACTCAAATCATGCAGTATTTGATCCAGATCAGCCATATCAAGACCATCACCTTCATCATCAATGTTAACATCTGCTTCCTGTGTTTCTGGTACATGTTCAATGTCAACAGTAGGTGCTGTTTGGGTGACAAATTGACTCTCAACATTAGGTGTTGTTTGGGTGACAAATTGAGTCTCAATCCCAGGTTCTTTTTTCCCAGAACTTTCACCTTCTTCATAAACACTGGTAGACCCTCTTCCACCACTTCTACCCCCTCTTCTACCACCTCTTCCACCACCTCTTCCACCTCTTCTACCACCTCTTCCACCACCTCTCCCAAGTCTAGTGCAATTGGTCAATTCTGGATTCAACCTTGGCCTTCCTATTTTCTTCTTAGGCTTTGGTGTTGGTTTGACTGAGGGATTCTTTCAAGACACTTTATTGTGCCCCATTTGTAAAAACCGGTAAAATTCGGTCAGAGTTCGACGATCAAACCCCCGTGAGCCGTTATGCAATAAAGACCAATGGCACGTAAATTGGGGTCTATTAAGTATATGTGTTTGTATTTCTAATTTAACCAACCGAGATTTAACGAATTAATAAATGTTACGTCCTCATTATATATATAAGTTCAAATATATATATATATATATATATATATATATATATAAATTATGTACATATATATTTTATATATATATATATATATATATGTGTGTGTGTGTGTGTTAATTACTTTTGCAAAATATCTAAATACAAGTATGATATATGATGTATATATATTCGAAATAAATTATACACTAACAAATATATAACAAGTTACAATTATTCAAATATATAACCATTTACAATTATTCAAATATATAACCATTATCATTATACACTAACAAATATTTAACAAATTTACAAGTATTCAAATATATAGCAATTATGTGAGCTGTCAAATTGAGGCAACTGTAAATCATCTTCCGTGATTCCAGCACACTCAATTCTTTTTCTCCTTGTTTCTTGCAAACCATCAAACAAACCCAATTCATATTCTTTTCTTTCTATAACTCGTTTCCAGTAAGAACACTTGGTTCTTAAATTCGTGTATAACTTCAACTTATCTGTCAAATGAAACAACAAAACAATTGTTTTTCCCTTCTTCAATTTCTTTGAATCACCCAACCCCAAACAACCTAACAATTCCTGTCAACAACCAAACCCAAACATTTTTCCCTACATCGATTCTTATCAAAATAATCATCCCATTCATCAATTTTCAATAAAAATAACCAAGAACAAACATCTCAAATACCCCCCCCCCATCGATTTCAATCCACAACGGAAAAGAGAAAAAGAACTTTCTTTTACCTGTTAGCCACCGTCGACTGTTGTTGTTGCGGGTTGTTTCCGGTCTACTGCATCCAGAGAAGAGGAAGGAAGGGATTGCTACTATCGGTTATACTTATCCTTTCTCGAATCAGATGATGGATCAAAGACCCCACCCGATTGTCGCCTTCAATTTCAGTTTGTGTTCCTTCCTGATCAGACGAAGACGACGGCTCAATCAAATTAACGGATCGCCGGAGATTGCTATCCTCGTGTTCTCCCTTTTTCGTCGATCTCCTCCCTTCTCCGGCCAAATTAAGTACCGATAATAACTCTCCGATTCAACCCCTGCCCTTTTCCTTTCGGTGACCGCTTACCTAGTCGCTGCTTGCTTCCGTCCGTTCCAACCACACGCACAAAAGAAAGAAGACGCCGACGATCGCCATCGGCCAGCGCCCCTACATGAGATTTGCTCGATCTTTCCCCGTCTCCTTGAACCTCGTCTGCGGCTGCTGCCTCGTTTCCTCGGGCCAAGATTTCCGACAATGGAGGTAGATCCTTCACAGGGACGTCGGAGCCGGGCGGCGATGGTGGTGATTCCGATGTTTTCGGTTTCTGTGTTCGGTCGCCTCCACTCCCGTTCATGTTGTCTCCATGTTGCAGTCCCGTGCACCCGAAGCTCCCGACTGGTTCTCTCTTTTGGATTCGATCGGGCAAAATAAGGGCAAAAGCCCCAAATTCTTTTGTTGTGAGAATTATCCACATCAGCCCCTACAAATGCCAAGTTATATTAAAATAAACCCCCATTTGTAAAAATTGATCAAATCTGGTCACCGGTGATTAAGGAAATTACTAAACAACCCCCATTTGTCAAATTACTTCCCTAAACAGCCCTACACTTGTCAAGAAATACCGAAACTGCCCTTTTTGTTAAAAATTAATACAAACGGTCCCCAGAGTGTTTCAAAGCTCAAGAATTACTAAATTACGATTCTCACGTGAAGCTTCACCAAAAAGAACCGGGATCGAGTTCACGCTACGACTGAAATATAAAGATACACGGTGAATCGTGGTACGAACGAAGAATGTCACGTAACAAATCTCACGACAAGTTTCCCAAAAGAACCCGAATACCGTGCGAATCGAACTCACGCTTCAAGGGTGAGTTCATACCCCTACATTTACATGTTTTTCTTAAGTTTTAAGGGGGGAATACAAGTAAAATCATCAAGAACACAATTAAACTTTTTCTAACAGATTACATCAGAAAAGATGGACTTTAATCACGGACTGTTTTGGTCAACTTAAATATTTTAGTTTTCAAAACTGTTCCAGGTGCAAGTAGTTCAAACTCTTAGCTTTAAAATGGATACTTGCACATCTCCATATGATTTTTCTACAATTTATGGTGATTTTTACAAAACTGTCTGTCATTTCAGAGGCAAACCCGGACCAGTCTGTGATTATGGACATTTTCACCTCTGTTAGAGATCACTAAAAATCTTGATAAAATTTACAAACAAACTAGACTCATATTCCAAACTCTCAAAATTTTCGGATTTGGATTTGGAGCTTTGATGATTTTTCAATAAATTTTCTAAAAACAGTAACAGAAACTGTTTTCAACAAAAAGTTGCTGTCAATTTCATTTCACCTTGTAACATGTTGAGCAAGGTGTATATCTTTATATGATTATATGTTATTGCAATATATGTCATTTTATCTTAATATATGGACACACATCAGTTTACAAATGGATTTGGACATATTGAATATAAAGAATAACAAGTGATTATAATCAAAGTACAACCGATATATTCAAACATTTAATAAACTATTTTAAATATAGTTTGCATACATTACTACGTACTACCCTTGGTTGATAAACTATAATAGGTATAGTTTATGATACATTACATAACACATACATTTAAAAAATGGTACATTTATACAAAAGATATTTTCATTAAGCAAGGTACGGCCATACGGTACCAAGTTTTCATAACACGTAATTCCGTTAATTACTTTGTGAGACATTTACTTCAAATTACCATTAAGTCCTGTATTGTAACCAGAGTCTCCTTGAGGGAGAGCGTGATACTTGTGTATAGATCTATATTGGGTTTGACAAACCCACACCTAAGCTGCATGCAACAGCTAGACCGGCAGGTCTGGGGTGACAAATGTCATAACATTTCCGACGCCTGAAGAACGTCGTTTCAGGCCAACTAGGTCATAGCATGGTTATAATAACTCACATAAAGTATTAATAAACATTGGAATTTACGTGAACTTCATTAAAATTTAACGAGTTTATGTCGATTTAAACTTGCATTGTTTTACTATAAATATGACAAATTACTTGTACATTTCGGTCTTTGGGTTTTAAGACTACATTTACACATTAAGGAAAATATTGGATTTTCTAACACAAATACTACTTTCACAAACGAAAGGCTTTAATAATACCAAACAAAAGCTTATGAACTCACCAACCTTTGTGTTGACACTTTTTCAAACAACTTGTATTCTCAGGAACTCATTAAACAGGTAATCAAGTGCTTTTGAGGATGGGACGCTAAGGCGTCTACTATTTCATATTTTGTCAACATATTGTAATTGATTCGTAAACATGTAATTCATACAATGATGTAACTTTTTCAATTATATATATGTTGGTTGTGTTTGCTTGAATTACTATTACAATTGTTGTTATGATACTATACATGAAGTCCTCCACCCCCGGACGTTTCCGCCATCCTTGGTTTGGGGGTGTGACACCATTTGCATACAATTATGACATTGGACAGTTCTACCCTTAGAGGAGACTTGGGAAAACCTGTCTTGATGCTCAGAGACATGTCTTTTCCTTTTCATACAAGGCCTTCCTGGCATCCTTCTTTCAATAGGTGGTAGTGGTTTGGTGTAAGGTGTTGGTTCCCACATATTACTGCCATTAACAGGAAGGATGTTAGACTCATAAGTAGCTAAGAACTTGTCCTTACCAAACCATGTGCTGATGAATCTAGCTAGATCCTGTTGTGTGTAAATTATGGTTGCTTGGGCATGGACACAGGGGATCCCAGATAACTCCCAAAGTCTGCATGTACAGTACATCCCCTCTAAGTTCACTCCATATGAGTGGAAGCCATTTCTCACTTCAAAAGCATTCAAACCACTAGGATGAACATACCAACTCCTGCAAACACATTAACAGTTTTAATTAGTATACATATTGAGTCTCAATACTAAACTCATACATTGTCTTAATTTTATAATACTTACTTGATATCAAAAGCAAACTCATCCATTTTCTTAATAGGTCCTGGACACACATTATTCACCCATTTGCGTGCTTCTTGCTTCAAGTTAAATAACCTTTCCATCATATATAGTCTAATCTCCTCAAGCATGGCCAACAAAGGCTTATTTCTGGCATTAAGTATGATGACATTAAAACACTCTGCCATTCCATTTTCAACAGCCTCACATGCCATTCCACCTTTAAAAAATGCCCTGCACCAAGATTTAGGCTCCCTTGCCATCAAATGATCATAAGCAGCAGGATTGACTTCTCTGATCATGTCCATATTCAATTTGAAGTCTCCTTCAACAGTTGACTTGGCAATTGTCCAAAACATATTCTTGAACTCTATACCACTGAAGACCTTTCTGAAATTTGCATACACATGTCTTGCATATTGTCTGTGCTCCACATGTGGCAATACAACCTTTACAGCTTCCAAAAGACCTTATCAATTACATTAAAAAATTTCATTGCTAACTGCTTGATCCATGTATAAATGAAATGAAAAAAAGGAGATAATTGAAAACATTACCTTGTGTTGATCAGAAATAACACACAAATCCAAGCCTCCTTGTAATTCCAAGTCATCATGTAATAGTTCCAAGAACCATTGCCAGTTGGGCTTGTTCTCAATTTCAACTACTGCCCAAGCAATGTGATACACATGGTTATTTGCATCCCTCCCTATGACAGTTAGTAGCTCACCTTTACATTGTCCTTTCAAAAAACTCCCATCAAGCCCTATAACTCTTCGACAACCAACTTTCCATCCTTCTTTGATAGCCTTAAAACATGTATACATTCTATGGAAAGTAGTAGTGTTATCAGGGTTTACAGTGACAGATATTTGAATTGTACTCCCTGGATTGGACCTCATCAGTTCATGTCCATAATCCCAAACTTTTGCATAGTGATCACTCAACTTTCCATCTATTAAAGAAATTGGCCTACACTTTGCTCTATAACATTTTGACCATGAAACCTTGCAATGGAACCTGCTTTGAATAATAGCTTGCATTTCCTTACATTTCAGATTTGGTTTCCTAATCATCTCCTTCAGAAACTGCCTATCTATCCATGTGGGATCCATAAGATTAGCACTACGGAAATTCCTAACACATGTATGTTGCTCAACCATTTTTTTGATTTGGAATGATCTTTCAGTGCTCATCCATGAGGTCCTTACAACAAAGGGACATTGAAATTTCTCAGGGTCACTTGCACATACAGCCACGAGCCTTACACTATCACATTTCTTGAACCTAATTGGATAACCCCTACTTATAGAGTAATTTGTCAAACAAAGCATTAGTTGGTGTGGTGGTTCATACCTCTCTCCAAGAACTAGCTTCATATTGTTCCATTTCACCTTTGGATCATGGGTTGAGTATTGAAACTGCAATTTGTCTTTATCGTCACCTTCACTATCACTCTGCTTCTCCTGTGGTGCTTCATCTTCTGACATTCCTTCAAAATCATTTAGGTTTATCTCAGGTATGGTGCATTCGTCAAGCGCTTCGTCTGTGAGAGTATTTAGGAACTCATATTTGCATCGACTTCTTTGTTTGTGTATGAAAACTCATCCAATTCCACGTCAATGGTATCGAAGTCATCTACTGTCTCCATTATCACTACAAAACAAAAATTAATCAAATATTATAAGGGAAACAAGATATTGGAGGACCACGTGGATTTTCTTACCTTTGATTCTTCTCAGGTAACGTTTTGCTTCGATGGAGGGTAAGAAAGGGTTTTTACAGAGGAGGAGTAGATGACGGGGAGGTTAGTGAAGGGTGATAAGGATGAGCCAGCTGGGGTAACCGGATATTATAAGGATTACCGGTTCCTAGGGCTAAACTGAGTGTAATAGCCGGTAATCTGGCCTTTTCCATAAGTGAAATTTAATTTAGGACTAAATCATAAACTAGGCCAAAATTTTGGGACTTTTTCGCAGATTTCCCGATTTAGTTCTTGCAAAACATTTTGGCATATTTAGTCACTACAACAAAGGTTACATGTTTTGACAGATTTAGTCCCTACAACAAAGGTTTTAAATTTTGATGGATTTAGTCCCTCTAACTTTTTAATTTATAGAAAAGGTCCCCGTAAAGTTTTTTTTTTCAAAAACAGTCCATATGTGTAACGCTTTTTGTATTTTGGCAGGTTTGATCCTTGTGTACAAATCTTATTAAAAAATTATCCTCGTAATTTATAGAAAATATATACGTGCTTCATAATTTTGCCACCATATTTTGTGGAGTTGTCGCATCTACTCCCCTGTTTTCACTAAACTGCTGATCACACGAAAACACTTAAAAATAAACAATAAAAATTATATTTTACCAAAAAAAATCATATATATTCAATTCATCAGGAATACTACAACACCATACAAACTCTTTCACGCTTCTTGAACTTCGCAATATCCGGCAACGTTCTCGACAAAGTAAAGGCATGTGACAACAAGATATAGATAATCATCGCCTCCCTCCGGGAAGAAATCAAAGAATCAGTTTTCGACCACAAGAAACTCATGAAGGAACTCCCTAACGATTAGCTAACAACTATTCCCTTTTTTCCGTCGGTTATGTCCGATTAGTCAACGTCCAACCAATGTCCTCTTTTGTTAATGTTTATGTAATAGTTTTCTCATCCTTTGTATGAACTACATGTTCTAAAATAAAACGTTGACACTACTTTAACTTCTACCATGCCATTTGAACTTATCGTCACATGCAAATACTTACAAAAGAAAAAAAAACAAATGAAAACAAATACACACAAATGCACACTTACAAGTAGAAACATTGTTTCTGATAATTAAAAAATATCAATGTTTAACGTTCTAGAATACATTGTCTAAACTGTAAAAAAAATTTAAAAGTACAATCTCAGCCATTACACAAAAAAATTTATCTAACCCGGGGCAAAGCCCAAGATCTTTTTCTAGTAATTATTATTTTTCAACTCTATGGCATGTAATTTTTAAATTTTATATTTTTGGTGTTTTAAAATTTATTATAATTTGGTCCAAACTTTAAAATACTTACAACTTTTTTATTACATTTTTAAACCTTTTACACTTTATTCTTGAAGACATTTTTACAATTTTTTGTATAAGTTAATTTTTAATGTTATAAATGCAATTTCATACAACTTTTGTATTATCAAATTGTAAAGATTTTATATATAAATTTCAATTAATGTATTTATGTTGGTTGGTTTTATGGGTTTCAATACTAGTGATTTCTCTTTTTATATTCTCAACAAAGCTGTTTCTATGTGTTTTGATCTATGTTTTGTGGTGGTTGTTCTATGAGTTTGATCTATTTTCTGTGGTGATTGGTTCTATGTGTTACAATCAATAAAAAAATTAATGAAAATGTAAAAAAAATGTAAAACAAGTATAAAAACATTGTAAAAAATTTTAAAAGGGTCATTAAAATTGTAAATATGTTAGAAAATGTTGTAAAAAATTAAAAAAAAAAATCGTTGTACAAAAAGCCTGAAAATAAATTGTACAGAAGTCATAAAATTTTAAATTTTGTAAAAACCAATTTGAGTGAGTTTTAGGGTGTGAAACCCAACAAATAACATAATTCAACTAAACTCAAATTTCATTGTTGTGTTGCACTATAAAAGTAGATGGTGGGGTCCACGAAGATACATGATTATTAAATACATAACACGCTTAACACAATAACGGGGGTTGTTTGTTTGCATTAATGTAAAATAAATGCATGCAATAAGAATGAACGTAATTCAATAATTAAATAGTTTTGATTATGTATTTAACTCATGTGTTATGCAATTCAATTATAAAATGAAATTAAGTTACGTTCTACCTAAGTTGGTACTTAACAAGGTCTAGCATTGTCCATTAATCAAAATAGGCTCTTTGAATTAAAACTAGTTTTACTAACATAATCTAAACATGCTCTTAGAATTAGATTGAAAAATCGCAATATGTTTTGTGTGAATGTTTCCAAACAACATCCAATACTTCTCACTAGCTCGGAAGAGTAAGAACATGCAACTCTAGTTTACACTGAAGTTAATCCCATCATAGAACCAAGTCAAACTGTGTAACTTTGATATCAATTCATAAAACAATACATATTTTATAAAATGAATAATAAGAAAGATACCCTAATTCTAGTGGCCAACATGAACCAAGATAAAATCAAACATTAGGTTAAAAAACACTAGAATTTCTATATAAACATGTGAACAAAACATCAAGTCATATAATCAAATGCATAAACTCGATTGTACTACAAATCTGAAATGGAAAGAGTTCGTCAGACATGACTAAAACCCAAAAATCAAAGTCTTCGAAGATAAATTAAGATGTTAATTCAACTTACAATAAACTGAAATAGTGTTTCGAAACAATTTCCAAATGATTCCTAGCAAAACCCCAATCAGATGTCGCCCGAATGTCGTCCAAGATGAGTTAGTTTCCCAAATGACATAAAAATCCCGAAATAAGAAATCAGTGAAGATTGCCAAAAGGCGGTTTTTGGGTTTTCACACGCCCCATGTGGATCCGGTACAAATCCACACGCCCCGTGTGGAGGGTGAAAGTATGATGCCATAATTGGGAAGTCCTCCAAAGTATAATGCCAAAATAAGCATTTTTGGGTTTCACACGTCCCGTGTGGATTCAATGCAAATCTGTATGCTCCGTGTGGAATGCAGTAAACGCATATTCTTCTGGTCAACATGCCATGTGTGGTCTTTGATGCCAATTTTCACACGTCCCATGTGAAAATCTTTTGTTTTGGCTCGCCATGATTTTTCCAATTTTTTCTTTTCTCACCCGATTGCTTCCAAATTTTGTCACGTGCTTCTTTAGGATCCCTAAAATGAGCCACAATCTTAAAGGCACTTGAAATCCACCAAGAAGTGTGCAAATAAAAGTGACATGTTGGAGGTGGAAATATTAATCAAAATTGTTACCTTTTTATGTAATAAAATCAGTTTGTTAGCACCTTGAATACATTATGAATAATTCTTTTTTTCAAAAACATTGTAAACTCTTTATAATCTAGTAATTATAAATATTTTCAATTTAAATAGAATATTTGAAAGTGTTACATCCTTATATCTTTAATTTATACAAAGTTGTCAATTACGATGTTATTTATTTCTTAAGAGGAAAACATCTCTAGTTTGCAAACGCATCTGCAGAAGAAGATGTAGACTAACTGTCTGCAGTTTGCAAAAAAAAAAAAGAATATTTTTTTTAAGTTTGCAGACTGCATAAAGGATATTAAACCACATTGATCATATATGATACCAAACAGACAAACCATATGACATACACACACATTAACTATATTGATTTATGGATGATAATTAAAGACGACGATGTTGGAATAAGTAGCAGTGGTGATGGTGATAGTAGTGGCAGTGGTGGTGGTGATGATGGAGGAAGTAACATATGGGTGATGGTGGTGGTAGTGGTGGTAATGGTTGAGATGGCGGTGAAGGGAGGGGTTGGAGGAGGTGATGGTGATTGCAATGGTGGTGGAGGTGGCGAATGTAGTGTTGGTAGAGGCCGCAATGGTGGTAACAGTAGGGCAGATGTGGAAGAAAATCATTAAAGAATAAAGCGTGAAAAATAGGATTGATTTTTTTAGGTTTAGAATGTTTGCGGGATTTCAAAAACTTTTTCATGTCTTCCACAAGAAGAGATCCCATAAAGGTTTCATAAACCTTTTTAGGTATGCGATCTTCTTAAAAAACAAGTGGTCTACGGTAAAAAAAAAGTATTCACGCACGTAGACATTATAATTCAAGAAAAACTTCTAAGAAAAAACAAACACCGCCTATCTCTTCATATGAATTTTATCTAATAGACTGTTTATATTTTGTTAATCTTTTAGTTGGTTGTTATTTTTATAATTTTCACATTTATTCATATGTCACCTGCGAAAATCTCAAAATTTTGCCAAAAAATGGATCCCAAAACTGAATTTTGAAAAACAAAAATCTTCATTTGCGAAAATTTTGGTTTTACGTATGGAAATTGAAGTTTATTTGTGAAAATTTTAAAAATATTTTTTTTGAAGCTTTTTGTGTTTGAAGTTTTCAAAACCCATTTTGTGAGCAAAGGAAAGATTAACATTGTTTTTTTTTTAACGGATAACTCAGATACCTACTATTTCATTCTTAAATCTACCATTTCATCCCTGAGATTTGGTTCAAGGACACCGTTCCGTCGACTTCTGATGATACCGATAGACCACATGTCATTTGGTAAAAGAAAGCTTAATGTTATAATTTTATACATACGGAAATAACAAACAAAATGAATTTCTCACCTCTTTAGAATCCTCATATCAATCTGAAAAACCCAATGAAAAAATATGAGAAATCTATTTTTTGTTATTATTGTAAGTGAAAATGACAATATTAAGCTTTCTTTCACTTTAGATTTGGTTTTTTAACACTTGTAAC